GGAGCTTCCTGCCCTACAGGGGACAGGTTAAACAATTAAAATAAATATTCTTGGCCTTTAAAATGCAAGAGAAAAGTGGCAGAATTGCTTCTCTCCATAGTCGTTCATTGACTAGAAGCTGGAGCCAGACAAATTCAAATTAGAAATTAGGCCCCAGTTTTCTGCAGTGAGGGCGATTAACCATTAGAATAAAGTCCCAGGGTAAGTGTTGGTTCTCTGTCTCGTGATGTCTTCAGATCAGGACTGGGTCCATTTCTGAAGTTCTGGGGCTCAATACAAGAGTAACAGGGTGAAATTTAATGGCCTACCTATCATATACAGGAGGGGTATGATAGATCTTATGGTCCCTTCTGGCCTGAAATGCTGTGAATCTCGATTGTTGTATGCAGTGTTGCTGTAGTTGTGTTGGTCCCAGGATATTAGGGACACAAGGTGAGTGAGGTCCAATAAAAGATATTATGCCCCCCCCCCCGTCTCTATGTGAATCTAGATTGTTATTTAACACCAGCTACATGTTGAGTCTTGTCATCTTGAGCAGTGTCCCTTTAACTGCAGTATGATGCCCACTGGGAGGTAGCAATTGGGGGCTCACAAGGTCCCTGTAGCCAGAGCTCTAGGGTAATCTCTCCAGCCCTTGCTGTCATGTCCCAGACTATCTCTCCACCACACAGCCTGTGCCATGGCCTGTCCTTCATGACTCATCTGTCTGACCAGGTGGTGCTGATAGTTTCATGGCCCTTCCATTTCATATCCTCTCCCCTGCCCCTTGTCAGCATTTGCAAGTGTGGGTGGGTCCTCTCCCGGGGCGCTCCCCATTGACAGATGCTGTGTGAGCGGGGCCACTACGCTGCTGATTTGCAGAGAGGGTGTGCCGCTAGCACGCCGCCCTGACAAACGCACAACAAACACCCACTTTCTAATCGTCACACGCCCTCGGAGCAGGGATTATTATTGCCATTCTGCCGCTGGGGAAACAGGGACAGAGAGGAGAAGTGACTTGCCCAGGCTCACGCAGCAAGGAAGAGAACCCAGGAGTCCAGGCTCCCAGCACGGATGTCGTCACTCAGGCTCAGTCTGCATGGGGAGAGCAAATCAATCTCTTCTCTCTGCTCGTTAGGTACAAACTGGCCGTCACCAAACGGAAAGAGGAGGAGCCGACCAGCACCAGCATCTACAACCAGAATGACCCCTGGACGCCCACCGTGGCCTTCGCTGACTTCATAGACAATGAGACCATCGTAAATGAGGTGTGCTGGGTTCTCCTTCCACTGAGGGCTGCAGCGCCTTCCAGGGGAGTGTGCAGGACACACAGACAGACAGACACAGCAAGCAGATGGGGAGTCCAACCCACGGGTGGGCCAACACGGTGCTGGCTAGAACAGGTCATGTCACAGCCAGCAGGGTATTCCCTCATTCCCTGTGTGTGTTGAAGTGTATGCTGGACCAATGGTCAGTGCTCAGTGGTGTTTACAGAGGGTCTGCCCCAGGTGTGTTCTCCTGAAATAGCCCAGTGACGCGTCTCTTCCTCTTCCAGGACCTGGTTGCCTGGATTTCTGTTGGCTTCCTGCACATCCCGCATACTGAGGATATTCCTAACACGGTGACTGTGGGGAACGGAGTCGGCTTTTTCCTGAGACCCTACAACTATTTCGATGAAGACCCCTCTGTTCGCTCACCTGACGGCATCTATTTCAGAAGTGACCAGGACCCCAGCATGTGTGACGTGAACCATGTTGCCTGCCTGTCAAAGACGGCCTCGTGCTCACCAGCCTTCCCCCCATTCACCTACAACGGCTTCCAGAACCAGACAGGTCCCTGAGCCACTGACTGCAGGGCCTTGTAAGTGTGCTGGTGATCGACTGTTCATTGGGCCATGTGCTCAGGCTTCCATCGAAAGCAGCAGTCAGCCCTGGCTCACTGATACCTGTAGATGGTTTATACAGGGCCATCCTTAGGCATACGCAGCATACGCAGCTGCCTAGGGCACCATGGAATTTGGGGCACCAAATTGCCCCAAATTTCATGGTGCCTTAGGCAGCTGGGTGCTGCATACGCGACAGCACTAGCCCCAGTGACCAGCCCTATCCCTCGGCCGGACCCCCTGCCAGGGGCAACTCCCTTTGCCCTGCCCCGGACAACTCCCTCTGCCCTGCCTCTTACCCTTCCCCCTGCTCCGGGCACGCCCCCATTCCACCTCTTCCCCCAGTGACCCCGCACTCACTGGCAGCGGCGGGAAGTGGAGCAACCCGGCCCCAGCCCGCTCTACTCCACCAGCTCCCAGCCGCGGCGCTCCACTTCCCGCCGCCGGTGAGAGCTGGGGGTGGTCCTTTCCCCAACCCGAGCCACATGGCTGGGGCCGGGGCAAGAGAAGCGGAGCGGGCTGGGGCTGCGTCTCTCCATTTCCAGCTGCCGGTGAGGAGTGGGAGGCGATCTTTTCCCCACATTCACCAGCGGCGGGAAGCAGAGTGGAGCAGAGCGGGGGCCGGGTTGCTTTGCTTCCCGCCGCTGCTGGTGAGTGCAGGGTGGCTGGGGGAAGAGGTGGAGTGGGGGTGGGCCGGGGG